GACCCACCGGAGCGCGCGACGCCGAAGCGAAACCCCGCGCCATTCGACTGAGCGAACTCCCCTCCATATCGATCACGCGACGCTGGAGAATCCACAGTACCGCATCCATACGACTTGCAACGAGCTGTCAACATACCTGNGTTCGAAGATGAAGGCGATAGCAATAATCGTTATTTTGATTAATTTGAAAATTTGCAAAAATTTTGTATTTTTTGAAAATCAGAATTCCGGGGATATCTTTGAATATCATGCTTCAAATGAATTCAATCATAGCTTAAAATGTTTGTTTTAATGCCATTAAGTCGAAGTTAAAAGATGATTACGACAGCTATATTGGTTGATTTGATTTTTATGACGATTTCTGAAAATTTCGAATTTCTCATGAATTTCCTTGAAAGTGAGCTTTCTGATGGTTTCTTCAAATGTGATATTTCAAATTCATTCAAGTATGTATAAATAAAAATTTTCTACATTTTATTGAAGGGCTGAGGGGAGAGATAGAACCGTAAAAAAGACCATCGGTTATATAGAAGAAAAAGATGATAAGAATAATGAAGATAATAACATTCAACTGAGTTGAAAATCTGACAAAATGAGTTGAAAAGAAATCTCATTCAATTTAATAAAATTAAATAAACAATGAATTATACATGATAGAAGGAAATGATGTGCAAAATAATCGTTAAATAAATAATAAATAATCGTTGTTAAAATTAAATTGTCAAAAGAAGCATCACTCTATACGTCGGGCACGCTATTCCCTTCGGCTGGTCTCGCGACTCATAAACCGACTGCTTCGAATTAAAATGTCTTGCGCATACATCCAACTCCCAGAAGTACATCCCCATTTCGATATTCGAGTAGTGAGTTGAGCCGATTTCCAATGGAACCCGTGTGCACAAACGTGTTTGCAACAGCTATATCTACTGATTTGCAGTACACTGACCGCTTTGTGCATTATTACGATGCACTCACGAATATTGACTCGACAATAACCGATGGGATCACAGCGAGATATATAATGCAATGGACTCCCTGAGGAAAGTATGGTAACACATGTACGTCAGGTCGCCAACTATACATATGCTGACGTCTCGAATAAGCGCATTTGACGTGAAAATCCTGGGAAAGGTTGCAGATGCAGGTGGATAGTCGAGACTTTTAACATGAAAATTAAACTTTGTGGATTTTTCAAACGAGCGGTTGTTGACTTAATGATTGAGGGATACCGTGACTTCGACATGAAGATTTCACGTGATTTCGCTCCATTTTTCCCCACTCGCCTTTAATAATTCATGAAAATCAGTCAATTTCTGAAGATTGGATTGGAACAAGTGGGAAAGTGCTTTTGTCATAATGTAGGTAATATATTTTTACTAATAAATTAACATTTTGCTGCCGAATGGAATTTGTATGAGGATGCAGCTGACGTTACTCCAGCGTAGACTGTCAACATTGTTCCAACATTGACCGCCAACATTACCTCAAGGTGGACAGCCAACATTGTCCCAGCATTGACAATCAACATTGTTCCAACATTGTCCTAATGTTGGTACCAACATTATCCCAATATTGCACTAACTTTGGCAGCCAACACTATCTCAATATTTAGCAGCCAACATTACCTCAATGTTGGTTGCATCCAAAATCGGTAGCCAACATTGCCACAACATTGCACGAGCTTTGACAGCCGACATTACCTTAAAGTTAGCAGGCCACATCATCTTAATATTGACAGCCAACATTACCTCAACGTTGGTATCCAGCATTGCCGCAATGTTGACAGCTAACGTTACCCCAGCATTGACCATCAACATTGTTCCAACATTGCCCTAATGTTGGTAGCCAACATTACCCCAACATTCCACCAACTTTGGCAGCCAACATTACCTCAACGTTGGTATCCAACATTGCCACAACATTACACCAACTTTGACAGCCAACATTACCTCAACGTTAGCAGCCAACATTATCTTAATATTGGCAGCCAACATTATCTCAATATTGGCAGCCAACATTACCTCAACGTTGATATCCACCATTGCCACAGCATTAGTAGGCAACATTCTCCCAATGTTGGTTCCAGTTATTCCAGAGATGATTCCGAAGAATTAAATAATCCCTCGCAACTTTCAAATTCCCGAGGTCAAGGGAAAAAAATAAAAAAATGTTGTTACGCAATAAAATGTGAAATAATTCATCAGAATGATTGAAATGAACCAGGGAAATGGTTTTTCCCAGCAGTTTTACGGTACCCCTATACCGCACAAGATGAAGTTTCACTTTCGTCCAGCGGATAAAGACGTTGAGCTAGATCGGAAAACAAGAAGCCAGAGAAGGGTGAAATGGTGGGAAAAAAAAGTGTGCTCCGGGCAGAATGACGTATTTTTCATTCTTCCATCCTTCTGACGCTCATTGCAGGGGCCCGGCGCGTGCTCCGTCATACAGAGCCTGGCGCTGAGTTCAATCGAGAAGTCCTTCATGGGAACGACGATTCTTTTTCAAGAGTCTCACCTATACATCAGCGCGTGAGTTTTTCCCTTTATTTCCCGTCATTTTTATATGTGCAAACTTCCGTGCTGTAGAGACCTCTCAAGGTCTATACATCGAGCTCTCGGATTTCATTGACGAACTCACAATTAAAGGTTTGTGGGTGGTTTTGCATTGAAATCGGCTGGCGTCAATGGATGTGAGACGAGTGCTCAATGATTGGGGAACAATTCATGCAAATCTGCAGTTTTATGTATCCACTGGATTTTTAATTTCACATTATTTTAGTAATTCTGAAAATTAGAATTCATGGGAATTATTATCACTGATTTTCTAGATTTGATATTCCTTTTGCAATTAATTGTTTACAATCATTCTCACTGTAAAAAGCAATACGACCGATGAGAATAACATGTCCCAATTTATCAGCTGTTAAATTTTCATATTGCAATAAGTGATTTCCTCATGTTCTAATTCCTATGCTCACGGAATAAGACTTTAATCATAATTACAATTCAATTCCTTCTAGAACACACTTTAGAGTGTGAATTTCTGGAATTCAATGTTTGTTGATACTCTGCTAAAGGTGCGTGCCCACACTGTTATCAATTTTTAGTTAGTTCACACGGTAATTCAATTAATCTGTTGTTCATCTCATCAATATAATTCCGCGCTTAGAATATTGTCATCTCGTGCTATCAGCATCAAATTAAAAATGAAAACTTCAGTTGGAATATTGAGTCACAGCTTCTTTTTATTCACATCAGAAATTTTGCATTGGGATATTGATATTATTTGTTGAAAGTGAAAAAATCGATCATCATTTTCACTATATTGCAATCAGATTCTCCTATCCTTAACGTCAAAAATGTGAGTTAATCTCATAATTCTAGCTATTAATTCTAATCAACTTTGTTCGAAGAAAACATTAGTAAACGCAATATTAAGAAAGTAGAATTATTCGATTTTCCTCCGACCTAAATGATTTGGACAATTGTGATTCGTTTATTCATGTTTCATAGAATGGTATTCAATTCTCTTTCGTTTGTTGGGCGGACTTCATGAAAATTAGACGCAGGACAATTGTACTCATGAAAACCGCCTTACTTTCTCCACTCGTTCGAGAGACCCGTCACATCCGAGTTACTGTCGATGCTTTTTTAGAGAGAATTTTCTCAACTGAAGTTTATTCATATCCCCTTAAATAACCGAAAAGGGCCATTTCACCCTTCGATACCCACACCTTCTCGACTTTCTTCCCCCAATACTTTTAAATATTCACGACAGCCCCCCTTTTTACGAATGTCGTAACCCCGACAGCTCATGTTCCCCAGCACTCAGCCTCTCCGTGCTCTCGGTATCAGGGGCATCAGCGCAAAAACCCTCTGAAAAATACAATTGGAAAAGTTTCCACATTCGCATGTTAGGAAATGGTCCATCTCGCATCTTGATGCGGGGCATCTATTCCCCGAGAAACCGGAGGACTCGTCTCTCGCGAGCATTGGCCCGAAGCCGATGCCCCAGTGGTAGTTGGCGTCGGTGTGTGGGTGCTTGCAAGTTCAGTCGACTCCCACAACAGTTCGAGCGTCTTCCGCTTGGCGGCACACTCGTTCCCTCCCATCAATTGTGGTCGCAAGCCTCCTCTCAACCACTGGACACACCAGGTAAATGCGACTCGACGTTCTCTCCGCGTCACCTCAAAAACCTAATTACTCTTCGCGTTTGCCGTGTCGATTGTCAAACTTCGTGAGTCATCCCATCAGTTTCAGCGCTTGGCTCGCGTTAGAGATTCTGTTTCGGGGGGAATTGTTTGCCGGAAGCAAACAAATAAATATTCTTGCGAGAATATTCATTTGGCATTTTTTTATTCATTTCGACAATAATTTAAACAATTTAATCACTCGATTTTGTTGGAAATTATGGAATAGCTTAATTGATTTCTATTTAACTTAATTTTATCGGGAACGATGTTAATTTTTCTATTGATTTCAACAAGCAAAATGAATAAAGAAAATAAATAATGTAAATGTCTCTCGAGAACAACTACTCCGAAAATTACACACAAAAAAAAATTACTTTTGATCAATAGAAAAAGTACTTGTACCCAGTATCAAGAGGTTTCTGAGGAAAAGGCACATTTTTGTAC